TGCCCAATTCTCAAGAAATGGCAGTTGATTTTTGGATTCCCAATTTACATCCTATTGGATTCAAGTTCAAGAATTAAGCAGCCAAAGCAGCTCCTAAAGCCATAGCACGTCTTTTGCAAGAAATTAAGTGCCTTACATCTCACTTCCAGCATTTCTAAAGGGCCTTGACCCACCACATACAGCACGTGAGAGTCCTGGCAACGTGAATTCCTTCTCCTTGGTGACACTGGGAACTGCTGTACCTGCTGTTAAGCCTACCCTGGTTTTAAGAAACCTTCAATGAAATTTAAGCTTAGGAGTTTTACCTTTCAGCTGAGACGAGCAGAAACACAAACATGATTGGTTTTCCAGGCTCAGCTGATGGGCAGGAACAAAGTAACCACCAGCCCTGTTCCTGTAGCCTCAGGCACTGCACTGAGTCACTTGTCCCACAAGCTGATAAGAACTGCATCTCAAAGGAAAGAAAACTCTCTTCAAATTGGAAGAAGGATCACAGTGTCAGCAGAAAGGCAGGGAAAAAATGCTAATTTCAGCACTGTCCTGAAAACCAAGTGGGTTTTCAGGTTCCTGAGGTCTATCTGAGGTTTCATCCCAGATCCAGCTCAGGTGTTTCCTTGGCAGGTTTGTCTTCTGACCTAGAGCTTAATCCTTGCCTCTGATCTAGGCATCCTGTCTGCAAGCTAATGAGCTCAAAATTACTGTATATTTGTGTGGCCCTCTGAGCTCTGATGTGTGACACAACCACAGCTATAGCTGGACTCACTTCTTTCTTTATTGTCCGGGGTTGCAGCCTAAAGGCCAGGCTTGATGCTAAAAACAACGAAATTCAAATCCCAGTTTACATGTGGGGAAAGATGGAGAAAGCACTTCTCAGAACCCAGGCTTCTGTTGGGATACCTCCCAAGACATGATTTTTAAACCGGGTAACAAGCACAGACCAGGGCTATCTTCATGGCAGAGGATTCCAAACACCTGTCACACCTTGGTGACAGACACCAGGGGAAGACTTTTAAATGGTACTTGCCTGGGCTCAAAATGACTACAGGAACTAGTCAAAATCAATGAGCTCTTTATAGCTGCACCAAAGTGTTTTCTTCTGTTGGATCTGTTTTCTTCCTCCATCCTACCACCTGTGTTCTGCTTATTCTGTGAAGCTTAAAGACTACATGGTGCCACCTACCCACTAAGTCTACTGTGAAGGTGAAGCCCAAGGCAAACTGCTCAAAGGTAAGAGAGAAAGAATGTTAAACTACTGTTATGTGGGGAGGGTTTTAATTTTTAGTAAGTACACAAACCTTAAAATAATGGACAGCTTACATCAGAGTCTGCATATAGAGTACCTTTCACCCCAAAGCAGTTTTCCAAAAATGTACATGCACAGAACACAGAAATGTAGCCACTCTGGAGCTGAATACAGCTGCTGCTCATCCAACACAGCGTGACAATAACAAGGAGAGCTCCTGCAATCTCCACAATAAACCTCTGGGTTTTTGGTAAATGCACTATGGATTTCTGCACACTTGCTATACCAGAGGACACCCATATATTTAAAGGCTTCACCTGAGACAACAATGCAGAGCCAGCAAAATGCATGTCCTTTGGAAGGTCACAAAGCTCCCCAGCAGAACATGCTGGAATACAGACAGCCAGGCTCTTGAGCAATTTCATATCTGATATTCAGGTACTCACGAGCTCTACCACTCAGTGCCTGCCGTGACAGATATGTCACAACTAAAGGTCACGGCAAGGTTTCCCCTGCCAGACTTGCTCGCCTTACAGGAAAGGCAGATTTGTTCTTGCTGGGTTGCTCTGCCCGGTGTCCCAGGCACCGTGGCTTGTTTCGGAGTGCCCTCTGCCGCCCAGCCCGCAGACCTGCGAGTCTGCAGGGAACGAAGCCAGGAACATGAGCGGGAACCGGTTACTGACGGACAGCGGTCAGCAGCGTTCAGCCCAACGTGCAGGTCAGAGGCGCCGCTCTAGAGCCGAGAGCTGAGCTCAGCATCTGGGTCTGCCTAACCTGAGCTCGGACGGTTTGGAAAGCACTGCCTCCGACCAGGGCTGCAGACACAATTGATTTTTACGCCTGTTTTCTGGGGCAACTCTACCTCAGCTCACCTCTCATGCCTCAAAAATCTCTATTCCAGTTCTTCTCATCTGGGATATGAGGTAGAAAAGGCAGCAGATGCCCCTTGCACTGGCACTGCTTGTTCATTTGCAGCCACGGGAAGCAGCTTTACTCTTCACTTCCACCCAGCCCACGTCATCTGACTGATGAGTAACTTCTGTCTCCAAAGCAAAATAGGAAAGCTGACTTTTGTCCTGCCCGAGTCCAAGATATGGAGGCAGGAATCCCTTTGGGGGTCTCAGGGCCTCTGAAAACTGCACAGAAACAGTTTCTCTGTAGGTGCTAAGAGATCAGATATTCTAGAAGGTTCTACTAACTTACAACCTATAATACTTGGCAAAATTCTTTAGTCAGTCCATTATCCTCACAGCTCCAAGAATCCTCACCTAACCAATACTCCTGTTCAAGCTGATGCAGGCGGCCAGGCCTGATACCAAGGCTGAAGTTTGTGACTCAATACCAGAACACAACATGTTCCTGCAATTCATTACTTGGGTTAATAAAGTTCTTTTAAGCACAACAGCCGTAAGTATCTTTATTAGAGCACTCGTTCATGTCCACTCAGCTCCCACACAGGCACTGTCCTGCACAAGAAATAGCTTTGCAATATGTACAGGATTCTCTGTGCAGTGAGGGCAGGTACTGCAAAGCTCTGAGGCGTTTGCTCCAGTCATGTGAAGTTCTCAGCAAGGAAATGGTTGCACAGATGCACCCCAAGATGCACACACACATACAGTGTTCACCTGTGTGCCAACAGCTTAGATGTGGCAGTCAAAATGTAACTTGCACTGGGCAAGAGAACTACATGAGAGCAATATATGATTTTACCCCTTATATTTTTGTTATCCAGAGGAATATTCCTCTGTGAGGTATTGCTCCTATACCTCTACAAGGATGGAATTCCATGACTCAACACTTCTTACATCTGGATCGAAGCTACCACCCCACATGTTCACTCCTAATCAATATATGTAGCTGGCACTGTCTCCTAGATTTGCTACAATTCAGGCATTTTTTTCCTCTTCCACAGCAAAGCACAATTTGTTTCATCAGGCTTGTCACTGCAAAGCTGAGATTACTTGCTTAAGAACAGACCAAGACACATTTCTACCTCTGTGTCTTGCCAATGAGGGGTTTTTAATTTCAAAAGGTGTGTGTGTGGTGTCAGGGTACATAGCAGTCTTTGTGTGGGCACTTACACTCATACTCCCAATAATAACTCCCAATTCCCTTCCCCTTTTGGCTGCCATGCTTTCCTTGGGAAGAGATACCTGAATGCAGTCAGATAAGTAACTTTTCCTTTCAGTGCATTGCCAGCCATTGTTATCTGCCTTCCTGATGACTGTGATTGCTCATCTGTGTCACTGTGTCACCCTCCTGGTCTGCTCTCCCTGGCAGGCAGCAGAGCCACGTGTAACATTCACAAACCATAACACAAGCCTGGTCAGGGTTTCTTGCTGCCACAGTAAGCGCTGAGGCTCTGGTGGCTCTGCTGACCCTGGGAGAGGGATGTGTTAGAATGACACAACTCACAGCAACACTATCACTGCTGTTAGGCAACTGATATTGTACCAGAAATAAACACAACAGCATTGCCTACAATGACAAAGTTCTGGTCACAGGGCTGCTGCAGTGGCAAGGGCCCAGCAGAAAACCACTCCTTTTGGGGAGGCTGTGCTAGTTTGTGAGCCAGCCAGTGCCAGGACTGCACGTTATCAGAGCTCATCTGCTTTTGCCAGCTAAGTAGCTTATCTAATAAATACACTATGTCACCTTACAAACCTTGCTTCTTCAGGATTATAACTCCTGTGACCTCCCAAATGCAGAATCCTTACAGAAGCAAACCCTCAAATGGCATACAGTGGGTAACAGTGTGGGGAAGGGTCCTTTGCACCAGGCCTGGAAACTGCAGCAGCACCTCCAAACATCATTTCGAGGTGCTCTCAGTAACAAGGTTCTGTCAGAGAGCCTTTATCTAGAACTGATCCCGTGCACGCTGTCTCTGAGTGTGCCACACGCTGCCCAGCAGACTTTAGTCCTTGTTACATGGGACAAACAAAACCACCACGACTTCACACCAAACAGCACAGGCACAGTATTTTTCATAAGGTCACACAATTAATTATGCTTTTAAGCTGTATCTACATTCAGGACAAATTCTTTTGTTTACTGCTCTTTTTTTTTAGAGTGTTCATGTGGAAGCAAGGGGAAAGGATGATGAAAAAGAAAAAAAAGTTTAATCTAAACCATTCCTTATTGACCACAATCCCTTCCCCCCTCTCCAGCATTTTTCCACAGAGAACTCTAGCTCCTCTTCCCATGTTTGCTCATTTCATTGGCTCCTCCACCGAGCTCCCATTCCCTGCCCACATCAACTCTGATGCTATGCAGCATGTGCTGGGTGTCTGCAAGGGGTACCACGACCCTGGTACCAGCCAGAACATCACACAGGCACGTTGTGCTAATGGAGGTGGATTGCTTCGCTTCAGTCTCTACCACACATAATGAGATTAGCATTTGAATAGTGCTGATCAAGTTACCAGTAGCTCTGAACTCTGGGTCCATCAGATGCAAATGAATCACTATAAATTTTGCTCCTTTCTTAAGGGCTCTTTATATGCATGGCCAACACAGAAAGAACTGCAGTGGGTATTAAGCCCAGGAAGTCTGTCTCTCACCATGACCAGGAATTTCTGAGAGTGGAGAAACCATAGGAGCACCTTTCCTTAGATAATTTTTTTTTTAAGAGCAGGTTTTCTCCCTCTTTTTGATGCCTCTTTTCTCCCAGGACTGTGCAGGCATCAGGATGTATTCTAGCATAAGGTTCAGAGACAAAAACCTTCACAATACCTTAATTCCATCTGTTCTTAATTACCTGAGTAACTTCTGAAAGTCCTGCCAGCCTCCTTGCGCCAAGGACATATCCTTCCCTGGTGGGAGGATGAAGGTAAGGTCTGTGCTGTCTCCAACTGCATTGATTCAGTATCACCAAAGCATCTGCAGTACCACGAAGCGTCTTAGTGTTCTCACCTCCTCAGTCTCCCTGGAAAAAGACACAGTACACATCCCATTTAGGAAAAATCATGTTTAGGGTACTGCCTTGCATGATTAAATGTAAACAGCCTAATCCCCTCCATGGATGCTCAGATATAGGGGAGTCTTGTCCCACCTCTGTTCTGTGGGAAGGAATCCCGAGGAGAGGGGAAGAAGGCACAGTCAATTCGTAAAAACAAAATCTGCAGATGTCAGGTGAGCTCAGGCACACACCAAAGCTTCCCTGACACCACAGCAGGAAAAAGTTCCAGGAGCTCATCATTCCTACTAACATGGAGTTTTAACACATTCACAACATTTCTGCAACCTTCAGAGCAGAAGGAGTGACAGAACCAAGTTATCTCAAATGCAGTCATCCTAGAGTTTTTAAGACATTACTGCAAACAAGCCTGTTCTTGCAGTAACTCCAGCTGATCACCACATGCAGTTAACTCCAGCTGCTTTCATTTCTCTGGGTCTAGAATCTCATTTGAGTTTTCATTTTACACAGTGCATTTATTTTGAGGTGTAGGAAAGAAAAATTCATGCACATGAGCATTAACTTGAATTAACAAAATATTAGAACTCATCACCTCCCCTGAGAAAAGTAGAAACCTTCACATTTCATCACTCCACCTGCTTCTTACTACAGGAAACCTGTGAGGAAGTTTACCATACTTGTAGTGTCAATCAGCTCCTTTCCTATGGAGCCTAAATAGGTACAATTGGCCGCAGGCACAGAGCACCAAAATTACTCCGTGTCCCAGTTGCTTATATAATAAATCTAAATTAAATCAATAATTAAAGCAGTTCTTGCACACTAGTTCTCCCTAGTGGTCCTCCAAACCTTTTTACAAAGCCAGTGGCAGCTCCCCATTTTGCTAATGAGAAAAGCGGTTCAGAGCCCAGCTCGCTGCGAGCCACCCACTGCACGGGCAACAGACAAGACCCATTTTAACACCCATGGCAAAAGCAGGCGTAATTTTTTAATGAAACAGGTGGGCTGCAGCCCTTCCACAGTGGGAAAAGGGCCAGGCCCTTCTCTGCACCACGCAGGAGACCCACCCCAAAGGCAGAGCCAAGGCACGCTGCCCTCGCTGCCCCTCTCCTGCTCCCTGAGCTGCGAGCGCAGCAGAGCAGATCCCGTCTCTGCAGGGACCTCCCCAGCCAGCCTGGAGGCGGGATAACGGAGTCCCCCTGAGCAGCTCCAGCTTCCTTGGGACACGCTGGGAATTCCCTCAGCAAAGCAGAAACTCACCCTGGGGCACCTAAGAGTTGACTCAGAGGTGCTCAAAAAGGCACAATACCAAGGGGTAGCCGTATCATTAGCTGACCATCCCCTCACGCACACACCACCCTGCATGGCTCGGCTCGGCCCGCCGCCACAGCCCAGCTCCCGAGGAGCCCCGGGAGGCCGGCCAGGGCAGCTACAGCCCCGGCTCTGCCCCCGGGGGCCACAGCCACCCCTCGAAAAGCGAAGCCTTCATGGGAATAGCAAAACCGTGCTCCTTAAACTGGGCGCGGCAGAGCCCCACCCTCAGGGCTGGACCCGCCTCAGCGCTGGACCCACCTCACGGCGCGGCCCCGCCTCAGGGCGGGGTGTCCCTCACGACACCGCCGCGCCTCAGGGCCGGGTCTCCCTCGCGACGCCTCCGTCCCCCGCGCTGAGAGCTCTTCGGGGCTGGATCCTTCTCATGCCTCGACGCTGAGCTTTACTCGGGGCGGTGTCCCGTGTTCTCCTCACACATCACGGCTGGGTCTCTCTCAAGACACCTCCGCCCCCCGGCACTGAGCGCTCTTCGGGGCTGGATCTTTCTCACGCCTCAGCGCTGAGCTCTCCTCGGGGCGGTGTCCCGTGTTCTCCTCACGCGTCAGGGCCGGGTCTCCCTTATGACACCTCCGCCCCTCAGCGCTCAAGGCTGTGCCCCCTCACCGCCGAACCCTCCTCGGGGCTGTGTCCCGTGTCCCCGTCGCCCCTCAGGGCTCGGTCCCCCTCACGGCTGGGCCCCCTCGTCGCGCGCTGGCCCCGCTGTGGGCCGGGCCCTCCCCTCAGCCCGCCGCCCGCGCTCGCCGCAGCCGCCAGGGGGCGCCCCAGGGCCCCGCCAGCCCCGTCCCTGAGGGGCACGGGCTGGACATGCGGGGAAACACCCCTAAAGAGGGGAAAAAACCCTAAAGAGGGGAAAAACCCTAAAGGGGGAATAAAAAACCTAAAGAGGGGAAAAAACCCTAAAGAGGGGAAAAACCCTAAAGGGGGAATAAAAAACCTAAAGAGGGGAAAAAACCCTAAAGAGGGAATAAAAAACCTAAAGAGGGGAAAAAACCCTAAAGAGGGGACAGCCCATGTTTTGAAGAGCTCATTCTAGAAAGACAAGCGTGTACAAAGAGAAAAAGGATCCCAAAGAACTGTGTCCCAGCCCAGGGTAGAATTCCTTTGTCAGCAACATGGGGAAGCTTTATCCTTGGTCCTAGGTTTCAGCTCTTGCACAAAACATTTATTTTATGAACAAAAAAATGTCATTTAAGATGGACAAGCAGCTGAAGAAGAAATCAGATTTCTCCATTAGAAAGAAAGGTCATAATAATAATGAACAGTATACAAACGTGTGGATTTATGTCTATAAACAGCGCAGGGCAAAAGATTTGCAACAGACACAAAGTCTAAGGTCTTTTATTACATTTTATAGATTAAATATATCTTCAGTAGAGTCTCTCTTTTAAAACACACAAAAGGAAAAAATACATTCTTCATGTACATATGAAATACTGACCACGTAGCAGGGACCATGTACAGTGCAAAGTATGAACACAGCTACACAGACATCACCACCTTGGATGATTATCAGGCTTTTTCTACAGTAAAATTGGAACAAGTTAACATTCCTGTTTCCAAAGAGAAATCCATACCCTTCCCTTCCATGGCATTTTGTGGGATTGTGCAGGAAAGGGTTTTATTTATGTTTTAAAGGTTTTATAAAATCCTTGCATTGCATGAAAAATTATCAAACTCCTCAAGCTTTGCCTCTTTCACACATTCAATAATCATAGTACAATTTTATTGTGATTGCAACCCAACTCCAAAAATCCAGGGAAAAACAGAAATATATATAACCTGGTATAGAGAAAGGAATGAATCAGAGTGATTGTTGCATTGTCCAGGGAACATGTACCCACATGTAGACACACACACAGAAGGTGGAAGATAGCGAGGTGTGACAGAGCATCTCCTATTTATCACAAGTTTGGAGTGAGGGCACGGGGTTGCACGTTGCACTTCAGCAGTGAATCTCTAGTGTCTCTCAGTATGGGATGTCATTCTGGTAGTACTGGATCATGTCATATGTCCTACTCCTAAAGAAGAAAAGCAAAGCCAGAAGTAAGTCAAAGTTTAAAAAAAACACTCCACCCATTGTCACAGAAACATTAATCAGGATCCCACAGAAACAAAACATGGGTGAAGGAAATCAGGTGCTAATCAAAACTAGCCCTCCATGCTTTGGAGGCATTATGAAGGCCCAGCTAACTGTTATAACAGCACAAAACATCCTGCTCTTTAAGCTAGGAAATGTATAATGAATGAAGTAAGATCATCAGGGCTGTATGGAGACAAGATTATGTGGAAATAAAGTCATCTTAATTCAGGAGAATGCTAATATTGAAAATAAAAGTGCAGAGGAAATAACAGCATTAATAGCAGCATCTCTGATGAGTGACTGAGCAAACAAATCTCAGCTTGTTACAGATAACTCAATTATCCATGGGCAGAGCTTATTCAGGTCACAGACTAACCATGCCACAGATAGAGAAGCTCAGGCTTGTCAGAACTAAGCTGGCCCTGGGCATTCACAGAGCAGTGTTACTGCCTTCAAACTCCCCAGTATTCATCTAAGATTTGGAGCAGGTGCACCAGCAAGAACTGGAACATCCAATTCAGTTCTAGCAGGGCTGTATCTGAGCCAGTGAGTGGTACTGGTCTCGAGCTGACCACACATGGAACTACACAAGTTTGTATCAGACTCTCCACAGTCTGTATTATCTGGGATAATAAAACATGCACTTAAGATGTTTAACTGTTACATTTACTCTTTAGACTGACCAGCCTTAGCTTAAGTCTTCCTTCCCAGTGTAAAAGTAAGGAGATGCAGCATGTTCAGAACTAAAGCTGCTATCCTGCACTATCTAAATATCAACAACTCATAAATGTTTGATATCTGACTGATAAAACACTATTTTTCAGCTCTGCTCAAAGCCCAATGACCTTCCTTTAGCCACAGGGAGAAGACATGCACAGATGCCAAACCTGTTGCTGAGGAAACAATTCTGGATGATCTTGATGATGAAAGTTGCGGCCTCTCGTTCAGTCATGTTGGGGCTGAACCTGTGTCTGTATGCAGAAAATCACAAAGAGCAAGAGAAAATTAGTGAAGTTTCCTTTGAATGTGATACAAATGTGTCTTTGCATAAGCTCAGCTGCTGCAAGTACCTACTTCTTGTGAGACCACCTGGTACAAATTACATAACGTTTTAGCAAGCACTTACTGTTAGTCTGATAGTGGAGATACAGGCTGTGAACTTTTCATCAGTCTAGTGGTGACTCCAGGAACACAATCCCTCTTTTGAGGCAGCTGCTGCTTTTAAAATATGTCTGTACCTAGTACTGCCCTTGAGCTCCAGCCCATCACACTTCATGAATCTGTGCTTATCTTTAGGAAACTGCAGAAAGTTAAAAGCAAGAAATGCTGAGCTAACTCTGCTCACTCTGGAGTGAACTGTGGAGGCATAAACCTGAAGGGCTGTTTAAAGTGTCACATTAGAAACTGTATTTGCCTAAGCTGTTGTATGTTACCTCATAGTTCCATTCAGTACTGCATTATCTGTAGAACAAATATTAAGAGGCTGTTATTCAGACTCTGACACCATTTCAGAGGACAGACTCTGCAACACATCATCTCTCA